GCTCTTGTTTAGCTTGTATATGCTCCCACTAAGTCAAATAATGAGAAAGAACCAAATCGCCTATCACAGCTATGCAGATGATACCCAGATTTACCTAGCCTTATCGCCAAATGACTACAGCCCCATTGACTCCCTCTGCCAATGTATTGATGAAATTAACAGTTGGATGTGCGAGAACTTTCTTCAGGAGAAAACTGAGAAAACTGAAGTCATTGCATTTGGAAACAAAATGAAGTTCTCAATGTGAATGCATACCTTGGTTTGATAAGTTTGATAACTAAAAATCAAGTCAGGAATCTTGGTGTGATTCTGGAGACAGACCTTAGTTTCAGTAGTCATGTCAAAGCAGTAACTAAATCAGCAGACTATTGTAATGGTCTCCTCACCGGCCTTCCCAAGAAGACCATTAGACAGCTGCAGCTCATCCAGAACACTGCTGCCAGGATTCTGACTAGAACCAGAAAATCTGAGCATATCACACCAGTCCCCAGGTCCTTACACTGGCTTCCAGTTACATTTAGGATTGATTTTAAAGCACTATAACTCTGTTATAAATCACTCAATGGCCTATAGGACCTAAATACATTGCAGATATGCTCACTGAATATAAACCTAACAGACCACTCAGATCATTAGGATCGAGTCAGTTAGAAATACCAAGGGTTCACACAAAACAAGGGGAATCCGCTTTTAGCTATTTTGCTGCCCGCAGTTGGACTCAGCTTCCAGAAGAGATCAGATGTGCTAAAACATTAGCCACATTTAAATCCAGACTCAAAACTCTTCTGTTTAGCTGTGCATTTACTGAATGAGCACTGTGCTACGTCCGAACTGATTGTACTGTATTTTATGTATAATCATTTTCTATTCTTAACTGTTTTAATTTATTTTAAATCAAATTTTAAATAAGTTTTTTAATTCCTTGTTTATATTGTTGTGATGATTATTATTTTTTTATGATTATTTATATTTAATTCCTTTTATGTAAAGCACTTTGAATTACTAATGAAACTAATTTTTAAAAGATATATTCTTTTTTATCACCTATTACATACTTTTGGAATGTAAAACTAATAAAACTTTAGCAATTCTATTCTAATTGTTAATAAAAGAAAATCTAATTGTGAATATGATGAGTCCATTTCGAATGAGACTGACTCAGTATTAAATCATTTAAGCTGCCAGATGTCCATTATACTGCAGACACACTGCTACGCAACAGTACGCCAGGATGCAGTGCTTACACCTACTCAGGGTGACCTATGCATATTATTATATTATTAATATATGAATAAATGAATGAATTACCACCCTGGAGCTCTAGCATATCCATTTTTATAGAAATGATCCATTTATATGTGCTTATGGGTATGCTGTGGTGATATTGATTCTCATTCAAACATTCTGGATGAATGGATGCACCAGGCAGAGAAAGAAAGAGAAAAAGTTCTACTGGATTAATAAAAGCATCACCAGAATGGCACCTGTAGCTGCAGGATAAATATACAGGATCTGAACGGCTAAATATTCCACATTAGAATGTTAAAAATAAATACAATATCTACATAACTGTATAAATCTTTAATTTACAAGGTGTATGACTTTGATACATATTGTATAACTTTCAAAAAAATACAGAGGTGAAGTTGCCTAGCAGTCTTCTCACTTGTCCATACAGTGCAAAAAGAAAGAAGAAGAAAATGAACATTTAGTAAATAAGCTACTCACGCATGATGATTGGACAAGTCAGTCTGTTTACTACTGTAGCACTACCCTGACAGGGCAACAAAAGGAGATCCAACTGAATTCCTAAATTGGACAGCTCTTCTGCCCAAGGTCATGGCTGTTGTTTCCCAAAATAACCTGGAGCGCAGACGCATCCAAAGTGTAGCACTTTGTAGGGCATTATCTTTGGACACATAGACTGGAGCTCTGTTCTTAAAGATGTGTCAAACCCGATACTAGGGACTTGTTGGATGTTAGTAGACAACCCTTAGGATTCTTTGACTGAAGTTCTTTCACTTCAGAATGCATTTATATGCACTAATATGCGGTTTTAAAGGAACAGTTCACCCACAAATGAAAATTTGCTTAAAATGTACTCACCCATCCAAGATCTTGATGAGTTTTTCAGAACAGATTCTGATAAATTTATATGCAGTGAATGGGTACCGACAGAATGAGAGTCCAAAAAGCTGATAAAAACATCACAATAATCCACACGACTCCATTATCTTCTTGTGAAGCAAAAAGATGCTTGTTTGTTAGAAACAAAATCAACATTAAGACGTTTTTAGCAAACTTTAACCGTTGTTTCTGATTAAAATACTAGTCCTTTATCGATAATATTGCTTTTTCCAGTGAAAAAGTAATCTCGTCTGAATCAGGAGAGAAATATACACAGATAAAGGACTGTTTACATGCTAAAAATATTCCAAAACAGTTTTAAACAAACATGTTGATGGATTTTGATGTGAGAGGACAACAGGTGGTGGACTTTTTCACTGAAGGAAGTGTTATTATGGACTTGTATTTTGTCCAGTTGTGGATCATTGTGATCTTTTTATCAGCTGATTGGTTCTCATTCTGATGGTACACATTCACTGCAGAGTATCCATTGGTGAGCAAGAGATGTAATGCTAATATTCTCCAAATCTGTTCAGATAAAGAAGAACTCATCTACATCTTGGATGGCCTGAGGGCAAGTAATTTTTTAGCAAATTTTCATTTTTGGGTGAACTATTCCTTATTATACAAATTAACATACACACAACTTTACATATTTAATAATGTATACAGTTATTTATATAATTCATATAATAATGACCAGAAAAACAACTTTTACAAGGGAAATGGCATCACAGAACCAGCATATCCTTGCCAACATCCTGGATGACGTGCCCAATAGGGGCCTGGCTCTGAGCCTTGAGGTAGCACTGCTTCTTGCACTCCAACAGAGTCTCCAGGTCCTTCCACATCTTCATCTGTCTCATATTGGGCTCCTGGTTCTCTCGCACCTGCTTCACCTGCTGACGTAGACCCTGCAAGCCCACAGAGACACAATGTTCATCGGCTTTGAAAAACACACCTAGTACTACATGTTCCAATGCTAATTGGAGATAAAAACAATTATTTACATATGCTCAAAGCATGGCTGGTGCAAAAAAAACTGACCCATGATACCTGATCTGAATTTCAAATTCTTACTGAGCCATTCAATTTATTGTATCCATATGCTGGCAGTCAATTTTGCCGTAATTTTTGGATTCAGAAAGCTTGTAAAGTAGCAGCAGTAAACAGTTAAAGGGCAGGACGGGCAGTTATGGGAGAGTTTGGCATGTCGTCGTCTCTCCTTCCACTGTGATGAGAGGGTGGTCCACTGGATGCACATCAGGGCAATGATTACACAAGCTTTGTTCTAACACTGGCACGATGTGGCGTGACACTGATCGCATGCTCCGCACGGTTTGGCAGAAATATCGGAGGCCAGGCCCCCCACTCTTAACTAACACCAAGTTGACCCCGACAGATGAGATAAAGACAAGTAAACGACCTGATGGAACTAAGTCATGAGTCAGAGAGGTTTGACAGATGGTCAAAGACAGTCTCCTCACCTTGCCCAAGGACTCCTGCTCCGCCGTGTTCGCGATGTACTTCTCTCTGTAAGAGAAGGATATACAGTGATTCCTTAAAGGAATACTTGTTTTAGTTTATATATTCTTTGTCATGTTTTTCCAAACCTGTTTCAATTTTTTATGTCCAAGCTGCTCTTTTGCATTCACTAAAACCATACAGTGGCTACTTTTCATACAGTAAAGCCATTTAGTCAAGCTCTAAAAAAAGTTATAATAAACATAAAAGTACCATAAAAAGTCCACATGCCTTGTGCACTATTTCTCAAGTCTTTCAAAGCCTTATTGAATGTGCATATGCGAATGATATGTATAGCAGGAAATTAAATCAATCAGTGAATAACAACTTATTATTAGTCTGTTCCTCACACAAAACTATTGTATGATTTCTAAAGAGGTGGAATATAGTGCATGAGTCATATTGACAACTTTAATAATTCTTTATTTTGTACTTTCATTGCATGCAAAATAGCAGCATAAACATTCTGAATATCACTTCTGAACAGCAGCATAAACATCATTCTGTCCTTAGTAATTATAAATTTTTTAAATTAGTTTTTATTTAAATTTTTAGTTAAAGTTTGAGCAATTTTGCTTTGTTATTTTTTTATTTAAAGTTGAGTTTTTTGCATTTTAATTTCAGTTTTATTACATTTTAGTACTTCAACTTAAATTAAATGGAAAACTAGAAATTGTGTCTTTGCAACTAAAATAAATAAATTAAAGGGGTATATGATATGATGCGATTTCAATTTTTCCTTTCTCTTTGGAGTGTTACAAGCTCTTGGTGCATAAAGAAGATCTGTAAAGTTGCAAAGACTAAAGTCTCAAATCCAAAGAGATATTCTTTATAAAAAATAAGAGTCAACCATGCCTACCTAAAACGGCTCATTCTAACACGCCCCCACATGTCTACATCACAATGTGGGAAGATTTGCATAACACCGCCCAAATGTGCACGCAAAGAAAGAACGCGTGGCTTCAGGAACAGCAGTAGTGTTGATGCAGCCATGTCAGGAGACGCTGTGT